CCCGCGCCCCGCGCCCCGCCTCGCACTGCTCCCCTCGTGAGCCCCGAGCGCTCCTGGGACATCCAGGGCCGGAGTTTTTCAGAACCGAAGCCGCGGCCCGACACAGAAGGGGTTCTCTTCTCAAGCTCAGCTTTCATGCGCTGTTTTCGCGTTTATTGCTTCTGCCTCATGCTATGGATGTGTGTGTGTGTGTGTGTGTGTGTGTGTGTGTGTGTACACATAGAGTGATATATACTTCTCATTTACATTTATGTAAGTATATAGCTATATTTCTACAAGTATATTTGGATGCTTCCTATTTATATTATATATACTCTCTACTAAAGTTTCACCTCTTAAGAAACTCTAGATTTTTCTATCATACTCAGTGACCTGTCACAGAAACAAAGTACCGAATCTTCTCACTCATAGGCAGACCTTGAACAGTTATCATAATACTATAAGAAAGGTATTGGCAGTAATAGGAAACTGCCAGGAGAAAGGGAGTGGGATTGGCAGTTGAGGGAAACTTCCAGGGGAGGGGGGACCATCTCATCCTCAAGGGTACCTGCATGATGAACATTTGTATATCTAGTCCTGAATTGTGCCCCACATCTTTAAAATAAAAAAATAAAAACTAAAGAAACTGAAGAGAAAAAAAAAGAAATTCTAGATTTTTTTGGATCTCTTGGTGATTTTCTCCTCTAGGACACATTGGATTTATTAAAATTGTTTGTTCCATTATTGCTTTACTTGACAAGTTTCTTAAATTTACTAACAACCATATATAGTTACATTATTTCTCTTGTGTTGGCTGAAGACCATTTTTGTAGGATGATTTTGAAGTCCTGATTTTCCTAATTCTAATAACTAATATTTATCTTCCCCCTTCCATAGTCTCTAACCATAACCCTTTTCATAATTTATGATTGAAGAGGTTCATTGCAGATTATCTATCAGGTAAGATAATCTAAATGCTTAGCAATAGCGAATTGTTTGTTTTACACACACACACGTTTAATGTCCAAAGTCATGATTATGCAGAGATTTTGGTGACGTGGGAAGTACTTCTGCTCTTATGTTAGTGACTTTTATACACCATGAGTGAAAAGACAGTGTCTCTTCATGTAGAAAAACTCTGGACTAAATGTACCAGATGAAGTTACAAGTAAAACGGTAGGTATTTGTAATTTTCTTCTTTAGACGTTTTTCTGAATTTTCCCATATTCTATGAGTAAGTGTGGAATATCATTTAAAAAATCATCTCCCAGCCCAAACTGAGACCTCTGTGGTGTGTTCTGGTCCATGTGCATTCACAGCCCTCTGTGAGTCACCCCATTTTTGGTGGCAAAGGATTTTCTCTTTGACGGCACAGGTCTTACTTCCACTGATATGTGTTTTAGTTTCAGTCAGAGAATAGACACTCAGTCTGCAACTGTCATGCGAATTATGTGCCCAATCTAATAGCAAAAGTTTGATCTATTCTAACAGACGGAAGTAAAGGCAAAACAAACAAATGCTTTTGTATTTTGTTTTTCACCCTAGGTGCATAGGCAGACTTACTCTAAAAGGAATGATCAACAGCACTAATATAACCTTGAATTACTATTTGCTCTAAAATTAGAATTATAAAGTGCATTTGAAGTTGAATGTTTAGAATTTTAATTTCCTTGTATGTAATTTTACTTTTTCCTAAATAATGGAAAGAACTGCTAAGATCCAGAAGGTAAGCACCTTAATAACACATAGGACCATACCTAGTTAGTAAAGTCTGTGGACAAATAAAAGCATCACAGTGAGGCCACTCTGGAAGTGCCTGGCATCTTACACAGCAGAGCCTGGCTGTGCCACCAGGGATGAACATCTTGGGAGACTTTGTAGGCAGGAGCTGGGCACGCGCTCTGGTCACGGGTCCAGTGGGCAGCTCTGTGTTCTGGCCTGATTCCTTACTGCCCATGCCTCCCTTTCTCCTTTGTAAACTGAGGTGGTCATAGCAACAGATTGCATTGCACTTTTGGGCTGAGATGAGCTAATGCAGGTAAAGCCCTTCCCACAGTGCCTGACACAGATGTACCAGCCATTATTACTGTCATTACTGTAATTATTGATGACAGGATAAAGCTTGGTGGTATTATTATTTGGAAAGCTAGGCTTGGATTAAAAACATTATAATTAGGTTGTACCAGAAGGTTGCTATTATAACCCAAGTTTGCTCTCTGTACAGTTTCACAACACAATGACTATAGCCAGGATCCGGTCAAAATTTGAACTGTCCATTGCACCTATATCCATTTTTTGAGCTTATAAAGCTGTTTCAGAAAATGCATATATTTTCAGCCTTGTCAAAGAAAGCTTTTTAGATAATGCTCAGTAAGGCATGGGAAACAAAGAATAAATAATTTTAAAAGGCATCTCAAACTGTTTTTAGCTGGTAATATCTGTATAGGGACACACACCCCAAGCCACAGCACTCCCAAGTAGGTTGATTAAGCTTTATTTCTGCATGACATTCATTTACAACAAAAACTCATGTAATTTGGTGGTTGCAGTTTAGACAATTTCATAAAGGATATTCATTAAAATAAGAACTTCATATGACTTTCTGGGACCAAGTGGTGGCTCCATATGTAGCTAGAGCTAGCGAGTCATTGAGAGGTCTCCGTCTTATATTTTCCAGCTTGACTATCTCTGCTGAGTGCCCCATGCAGCTTGAAGACTTCCCAATGGATGCTCACGCCTGCCCACTGAAGTTTGGCAGCTGTAAGTTATTTTCACAAGTAAGAACCATGGACATACTTTTGGGGTCAATTCCACGTTTATTCAGAATAATTTAGGTTCTGCCTATAAATAAGCATGATTCACAGGAGTCTGCCAGACTGATTTTCTTGTCTGTAAAATGGGAACGTTGACATCTGCTCCGCACATGCCCCAGAACAGGGTGACGTGCAGTCCGCTAGAGGCGCTGAGCAACCCAGAACGTGCTCCTCTGGAGGCATTGCTCACGGACCCTCACCTGGTGGCTCTCTCTTACTTTCACTTCTCAGACTGTGGTCACCTCCTCGAAGGGGCTCCCAGTTTTCAATACCTGGCTAGTAACTTTTATACTGCTTTGTGGCCACTGCTGTGTTGACTCACCTCTAGAATGTTCCATAACAGCCAAGACCTTGTCTGTCATGTTCATAGTCACTGCTCATCCAGAACACTCAGCATCGTAGGAACTATGTGTTACTTGGAAACATAAACAGGTTCTTCGTGTCAAATACTGCATGCATACACACCCAAGTCTGGTAGAAATTCCGGAATCCAGCCACTCCAGACAGGGGATGCTAACCCCAGCCCACACGGGTGGCTGCAGCCTCATTCCCATCTGTGAGACATTCGAAGCAGGGTTGGAACTGATCTGTTGTTTTCTTCTTTCCTTCTGCCATGCACTAGTGCTCATGCTGTGTGAAGTGTTCATTTTCGAAAGCAGCATGTCCCCGGGAGATTAAGCATGAAAGCTGTGTGGGGTTGAATCCTCCTTATCCCACTCCTTTGCTGAGTGACTGTGGGCAAGGTAATTAGGCTCTCTGGGCCTCTTTCCTCATTCGTAACATAGGCAAGAGCTTTTGTGAGAGGTTTGAAAGTGGCAGAGCAGCACCAGTTAAAGTATCCCACCCCTGCTCATTGTCTCCCTTGTATTTACAGCTTCTTGACCGAATGCATGTCTCATCACTGTAAACCATCTCTTTGACCCAGTTTGTGCTGTGGAGCTAATTTTTGTCTAATATTAATATTGACACACTAGTTTCTTCTTTAATTCTTGCCTGGGATATCCTTTATAAATTTTTTTTCCTCTAAGTTTCCTGTTTCACTAGATAGCCAAGTTGGGAAGGTCTTTTTCTTAATGGGAAATGTCATCCATTTTCTTTACTGTGACAGTGCTTAAAAGTATACACTGTCAGAAATGTTTTTGAGTATTCTTGAAGTATTTATTTTTCTAAGTATTAAATTTTTTTATGTCTTTTGTTGAAGTATTTTTCTTTTCTTTTTAAAAAGGAACACCACTTGTTGAAGAGACTGTCTTTTCCCCATTTTGTATTCTTGACACTCTTATCAAAGATCAGTTGACTATAGATGCATAGACTTATTTCTGAACTCCATTTTATGATAACTTAACTTCAATCACATACAAAAACTCCGTACCATTACCACTCCCTCCCATATACTTGATGATATAATTTGCCTTCATTTATAATGTGCATTCACTGATATTTTAAATTATAATTATTTCTAATACGTCTGCGTTTTGTCTTTTATTTTAGAATTATAAGTGAGTTACCCACCACTGATAGAATAACACAGTATTCTGTATTTGTCTGTGCATTTATGCATTTACCTTTACCAGCAAATTTTCTTCTCTATTACTTTGCTGTTTAGCATTCTTTTATTTCAAGTTGAAAAACTCGATTACTTCTTGTAAAGCAGGTCTACCGATGATATAATCCTGCTTTTGTTTTTCTGAAAAATTATTTGTCTCTCTCTTGCTTGCTCTTTTTCTATTCTGATTTGTGGTCTCACTCTGTTGTCCAGGTTGGAGTGTAGTGGCATTATCAATGCTTAACTGCAGTCTTGAACTTCTGGGCTTTCTTTTCTCTTCCATTGGTCTATTGTTTGTTCTTTTACCAATTTCACACTCTTGATTACTTTAGCTTTATAGTAGTCTTGAAATTAGGTAGTGTCAATTTTCTAACTTTGTTCTCCTGCAATATTGTGCTGGATATTCTGAATATTCTGCCTTTTGATATACACTTTATAATCAGTTTGCCAATATCCACAAAATAACTTGCTAGAATTTTCATTGGGATTGCACTGAATCTATAGATCATATTGGAAAGAACTGACATCTTGACATTATTGAGTCTTCCTATTCATGAACATGGAATATTTCTTCATTTACTTAGTTCTACTTTGACTTCTTTCATCAAAGTTTTGCATTTTTCCTCATCCAAATCTCACACACACACACACACACACACACACACACACACACAGGGTGCCAAAAATGTATACACATTTTATTAATAAGAAAGGAAAAATTGTATTAAAACTGAAATGTTCAATAAGATCAATACAAATCATGTTTGACTTTTGCAATTACAAGAGGTGCTCAAAATGTTTATCATCAGCATTAAGACACTTCTGATTATGGCCAAAAAAAATGTATTCACATTTTAAGAGATGTTGGGAAGTGTTCACTGTAATCAGAAGTGTCGGGATGCTGATGGTAACCACTTTGAGCACCTCTTGTAATTGCAGAAGTCAAATATGACTTGTATTCATCTTATTTAGCATTACAATTTTAATACAGTTATTTTCCATTCTTAAATGTGTATACATTTTTTGGTAACCTCTGTAAGTGTGTATATACATATATTTATATACACACATAAATAGTACACACACATATATAGTTAGATTTATGTCTAAGATATTTAATTTCTTTGAATGCTAATGTAAATGGCATTGTGTTCTAAATATAAAATTCACATTTTTATTGCTAGTATGTAAGAAAATGGTTGGTTTTTATATATTAACTCTATATCCTTGCTTTAATGGCTGCTAGTTCCAAGAGATTATTTTGTCAGTTCTTTCAGATTTTCTATTTGGGCAATCATGTCATCTGTTAGCAAAGGCAATTTTATTTCTTCTTCTAATTTATACTTTTAATTTACTTTACTTGCCTTATCATTAGCTAGGATTTTTAATATAGTGTTGAAAGGAGTGGTGCGGGAGGCATCGTTACCTTGTTCCTGATCTCGGTGGATAAAATATCTTGTTCTAGTTTCATTTTATTTTGGCTGTGGATGCCTGCTTACTCCAATACTATTTGCTGAAAAAACCATATTCCTCCATTGAATTCCTTTTGCATATTTGTCAATAGTCAGTTGGGAATATTTTCATGTCTCTCTTTTGGGGTTCTCTAATCTGTAATGTTGATCTATGTGTGTATTGCCCCATCAATACTAAAACGTAGCTATACAGTAAGTATTGAAATTGGGTAGACTGACTCCTCTCAGTTTATTTACCTTTTTTCAGAATTATGTTATCTCTTCCAGTTCATTTGCTTTTAACACGATTTTTAGAATGATCTTAGAATATCTATAAAAAGTGTTCCTGGATTTTCATAGGAGTTGGATAAAACTTGTATAACAACTTATGGGAAATTTTACATTTTCCAATACATATGTTCCTTCCTTTCTTTACATCTTTGATTTTTTTTTTTTTTTTTTTTTTGGTATTTTATAGTTTTCAGCATAGAAGTTCTATGTATGGTTTGTTTACTTTATATACAAATGTTTTATTGTGATAAGGGAAATGTAAATGGCATTGTAGTTTTAATTTAAGGTTCTCCATGTTCATTGCGATTATATAGGGAAACACATGCTTTTTGTATACTCATCTTTTATTTTGTCACCTTACTAAACTCTTACCAGCACTACTAGGCATTTGCTTGTTTGTTTACTTGTTGTTTTGAATTTTAAAAAATGACTTTAACTTTTCTTCACAGACATAATGTCTGCAAACAAGGAGAATTTTCTTTCTTTCTTTTTTATCTGTAAACTTTTTATTTTCTTGCCCTTCACAGGCTAGAATTTCTAGTAATGTGTTGAGTAAGAGTGGTGAAAGCACATATTCAGGCTTTGTTCCTAGTCTTAAGGAAGTTTTCCGTCTTTCACCATTAAGAATAGTGTTAATTGTAGACCGGGCACGATGGCTCAGCCTGTAATCCCAGCAATTTGGGAGGTCGAGGCGAGTGAATTGCCTGAGCCCGTGGATTCAAGACCAGCCCAGGGAACTTAGTAAGACCTTGTTTCTACAATAAATAAAAAATTAGCCAGACGTTATAGCACACACCTGTAGTCCCAGCTACTTGGAAGGCTGAGGCGGAAAGATCGCCAGAGCCCAATAGGTTGTCACCAGGGTGACCATGAGTGTGCCACTACACTCCAGCCTGGGTGACACAGTGAGACTCCAGTTCAAAAAAAAAGAAAAGAGAATAGTGTTAGTTATAGTAGTTTTATGTTGATACAAGTGTTGTATCAAATTGTGGAAGTTGCCCTCCATTAATAGTTTTCTGAGTATTTTGATTTCATTTGTCATGAATGGGTATTAATTTTGTCAAGAGTGTTTTCTGCATCAATTGATATGATTATGTGAGTTTTCTTTAGCCAGATCAAATGGTAGATTACAGTCTTACCTTACATCCCTGGAATATACTCCATTTGATCACTGTGTATAATTTATTTTTATGTGGTTTTAAAATTCAGTTTGATAATATTTTGTAAAGGATTTTTTTTTGCATGTTCATGAAGAATATTTATCTGGAGAAGTTTCATTTTTTTTGGCAATATGTTTGGTTTTGGTGCCAGAGTAATCTTTCCTTTGTAAAATGGATTGGGAAATGTTCTTTCCTTTTTAATTTTTGGAAAATATTATGTAGAATGTGTATTAATGCATTAAGATGTTTGTTAGTCTTCTTGGGTCTGGCACCATGACTCACACTTGTAATCCCAGCATTTTGGGAGGATCACTTGAGGCCCGGAGTTCAATCAAATCCAGCCTGGAAAGAAAACATGACCTCCTCTCTACAAAAAATAAAATATTAGCCTATGTGGTGGCATGCCCCTTGATCCCAGCTAAATATGTTGGGGCAGGGAGATCGCTTGAACCCAGGAATTTGAGGTTGCAATGAATTGTAATTGTACAGTCTGGGCAAC